ATTTTGGATTCTCTAAGAGGGATTTTTTCCTAAGAACTCTGCGCTCAATCGATCAGGAGGAGGAAGAATCGTGAGAGGAAAGAGGATCGCAGATGCTTTTCAGAATATTCGCTAATGTATCGAAGCGGGCTCAATAATCATTGGCGAGGCTGACGGTCAGCGGTCGGGCCGTCTATTCACGCGGTGTTACGCGGCCTTTCACGGATATCGGGTTGCCCATTAGCAACTAGAGAGGCTGTCCAGTAATTACGGCTTAATTAATCTCCCGGTGCCGTGCTCCTTCTCTCCTCCCGGTCCTGCCGACTGATTAACGTTCGCCACTCTCAAAGGAAGAGCCGACCGCGCGATGACCTCTTGCGCCGAAAACCAGCTACCAGCTTCCCTGTATACGTGCTCGCTCTCGTTGACCAGCAAGCGCTGGTTACATTATCCTAAACGCTTCATCATGTCGTAAATTCGTGTGCAGAAATACGCATCAAAGCAAGCACATTAAAGCAAGTTAATGTTCAATATATTTTTTTCATTTTTTATTCAGTTCGACGATGACAGATAATATTCTATGATACACTGAGAAAAAAATCTGGTTGTATTAATTAAAATTCTGGTAGATGCAACCAGTATGTCTGTTGGAAAATGGACGAACCAGAATTCTGGTATGAATTACCAGATGAATCTGATTAATTTCTTCCTGTTAAATTTATCAAATTTTCTGGTTAATAATATTAAACTCGCCAGTACCAAGTCATCTAAAATTTTTTCCATCTAATCTCAAAAGTCTGTTTAATATTCTGAATTCCAACAAGATTATTGGATAAATTCAATTCAGATTATTGAATAAATTATTTTAAATTCAGTTTGTTAGAAATTAAACTGATAAATAATGCACTGAGAAAAAATCTGGTTGCATTAATTAGAATTCTGATAGATTCAACCAGTATGTCTGTTGGAAAATGGATGAACCAAAATTCTTGTAGGAATTACCAGATGAATCTGATTAATTTCTTGCTGTTAAATTTACCAAATTTTCTGGTTAATAATATTAAACTCATCAGCACCAAGTCATCTAAAATTTTTTCCATCTAATCTCAAAAGTTTGTTTAATATTCTGAATTCCAACAAAATTATTGGATTAATTCAATCCAAATTATTGAATAAATTATTTTAAATTCAGTTTGTTAGAAATTAAATTGATAAATAATGCACTGAGAAAAAATCTGGTTGCATTAATTAGAATTCTGGTAGATTTAACCAGTATGTCTGTTGGAAAATGGACGAACCAAAATTCTTGTAGGAATTACCAGATGAATCTGATTAATTTCTTCCTGTTAAATTTACCAAATTTTCTGGTTAATAATACTAAACTCATCAGCACCAAGTCATCTAAAATTTTTTCCATCTAATCTCAAAAGTTTGTTTAATATTCTGAATTCCAACAAAATTATTGGATAAATTCAATCCAGATTATTGAATAAATTATTTTAAATTGAGTTTTTTAGAAATTAAACTGATAAACAATGATGAGCAAAAAGAGGATGCAGCTCAAACACACACAATCAGAGAGCTAACGTCTTCTTTCTGGCACTACTGCACGTAAGAGAAAAGAATATACTTTGGATTTAATGTTAATACTAGTTCTTTACATACATTTTATGGCAAATATTGAATACGAGTTAAGTTAAGAAGCAAGCAAAGAAATTAATGTAACATGAAATTTTATAGATTCAACCAGAAAATACTAACCAAATCCTTATAATAAAATCCATTAAACGTTATAGTTATAAAAAGTCGAGTCTTACCATGACAACTAAAAATTCTTGTTTGATTGAACCAAAATGCCTTCAATCATATACGTTTTGTTGGTACAATCAAACGATTTTGCTCAGTGTATATTTTACGATTTCATTATCTTAATTAATTGTAAGTAATTGTAATATTTTTCCTTTTATGTAAAAATCATCTTGACTCCTCAAACAACGAATTACGTGCTCGAAAAAAGGTACAAGTGCTCACGCTTGTTTTTAGATGCATATCCCCTTGTGCGACGCGCTAACGCTCCTCGCTTCTCTTTGCATCTAATTTAGCTTTTGTAAGATCTCTTCCAGTCGCACAGGTGAACAGGTAGACGGGTAAACAACTGAATCAGCTTACCATTTTTCGAGGGGCGCAGGGAAGCGTCCCCGCCGAGTTGCTGCTGAGTCGTCGAGCGCGCTCGACTAAAAGATTCATGGAGCAGAAAAACACTAACGCGCGCATTGCGTTCCCGCGCGGTGGAAGGATAATAGGAGGGGATTTTGTTACGTAGTCACGAGTCTTCGTCGCCATTGTCTAGCTAATTATGAAATACTGCCGGAGAAATACAGCTCGGACGAGACGATTGTGACAGACGACGAAGGGTTGACCGACGAAGTGTCTCTTAGGCTTCGACGAGCTTTATTGACTTTGGTAATGGCTATGCTGTATGTCGCTACAACGAATACAACACGATCATTTACGGTAGTCATATTCGTCGAGTTAAAATAAGGGAACATTTCTGTTTAAACCTAGGATACGTTTCTCGTTAGATCGATTATTTAATAACTCGAAACGTTTCAGACTGTCAACATTTTTCTAAGTGGTTTCATATTGCAATTTGATTTCTTTAATGCATTCAGGGATATTTAATTAATAAAAAATATAATCGAGAGATTAGATATAATTAATAATAAAATAATAATAATAATAAAATAAAAAAATAATAATACAGTAATTTAAAATTTTACCTAATCCAAAATATTAACTTATATGTAATAATAAATTATAGAAAAGATAGAAAAAGATACACATCATTTTTATGAAAATTTTTTTAAAATGTGCCTTTTATCTGGAAAAATTCAATTTTATTAAGGCTGCTTCGCATTTTTGCACAAACTAACGGTAACGCTAGGAAAACCGAGTCAATCAAGAATGTCGTCCTCAATAGCCGTTAAAATCGAGCAGACAGGCGCGTCAGTCGAAGGAAGCAACAAATCGAAGAGCGAAGAGCCAAGAAGCTTTCGCGCTCGAACGATCGCCCCTCATCAATTACACGGCTGCCTAATTAACCGCGTCGAACTATTTTACGATACCGGTTGCGCCACGATAATTATTTATCGCATGCCACATCGATATCCTTTATGCGATGGGTCTCTTATCCATGATTTCTCGCCTATAATAAATCACGCGTAAACGCGTAATAATCGCGAAATCATAGATATTTTCTAATGACGTCTAGTAAATCCGTCGTTAGTGCAACTATAACGCCTCGATATTTTATAGAAAACAAAAGAATAAATTTATTATTCTTTAAAAAATAGGAAAAATGCTATTTTATGGACATGATTATACTTAATTATATGATATTTATATTATTTATATTTAATTATATTATATTATATGATTATATTTAATTATTGTCTTTAATTATAAAGATATCTAATTATAAAGAGATCTTTTTGTCTTTAATTATAAAGATATCTAATTATAAAGAGATCTTTTTTATGAAAAATTATAAATAAAATGTAATTCTTAAAATTATTTATATGTCAATATTCCAACAGGAGAGAGAAACTGATCAGAGATTAATAAATTAAGATTAAGGCTCTATTATAATAACATGGAAATTTTAATTATTTATTTAATTATATTATATTATATGATTATATTTAATTATTGTCTTTAATTATAAAGATATGTCTTTTTTATGAAAAATTATAAATAAAATGTAATTCTTGAAATTATTTATATATTCCAATATTCCAAGAGGAGAGGGAAACTGATAAGAGATTAATAAAAATTATAATAATAAGTTTTAAAAATTAAGATTAAGGCTCTATTACAATAACATGAAAATTTTAATTATCAAACAATCTCTCTTCGGCAACTTGAGATTCCATTTTACCTGCAAATTATACTTGCAATAAACTCAGCGCGATCGCGATCGATCGGTAACCAAATTTCTGTGGATAGGGTCAGGTCGCATCGCAACACCTGTCGTTAATGCATAGCCGTGCGCGATCCTAAAGGAGCATTACTGTCAGCCTCTCTTGGTAGTTCGTTAATATTTCTCTGCCGCAATCTTACGTGGCGCGCCGTACCTTTTATCGAGCGGGTCCTTCTCTCTCTCTCTCTCTCTCTCTTTCTCTCTCCCTCTCACGCGTGTTCTCATTCTCGCGGGGCCCAATCGATACCGGCACGCTCATCAGCGTCCGACGTTAACGAGTAACGTTCGGACACCTAATGATGGACAAGTTTTCTCCTTGAGGTATGCCAGCCGGAATTGAATCGAGATGCAAATTACAGCGGCCCGGACCCGCGCTCTTCGCGCCTCCCCACAAATAGGGCCGCCGTCCTTAATATCGTGCTCGCGCGAGCGGCCATGCGATGTATCTACTAACGATCGGCCACAATGAGTAATGGAATTTATCGTGCGAGCTGTTCGCCAGACTTGGCTCGAAAGTCTTTGTGAACTTTAGTGCCGGTAGTACTTTCCAAAGAGCGTATATACAAGCGAGAACGTAATCGCGGACTGTGCTCATTAATCTGGTTAACGAGATCATGAGTTTATTACTACGTGTAACGCGAATATTTTCCATATAGCATGCGTACGGACAGCCCATGCCATGTTATCTTACATGTAATTTGCCGTCGTGTATATGATCTACCAATAAACTTCCGCGGGAAGACTGCTTCATCCTGATGCACTTCGTGGGTAGGGATTATTAAAATTATTAATAATTTCCTCGGACAATTTTACAGCTTTTTCTCTGCTAAAAGGAGTCATTACAACGTTATGAAAAATTTATATGTGCTAAGAAAATTATATTCAGAAATTTTCTGGAATGGCGGAATAAAGAACCTTGCTGTTAAAACTAAAGATGAAAACAGTTTATATCAACACCTATACTACTTCGTTGAAAAAAATTATTTTTATAAGTTTAATTTTTTGTAAACTAATCCAATTCGTTTTCTTTTATTTCCTGTAGGTACCAGACATTACGCAGTCAAGTATTAATTAGTAATTGTCGTTCTACCATTCCACCTGATAGAAGTCACCGATGGAAAATTCTGTGAGTATTCTTGTGCAATTGTTTTGTAAAACGATTCTAAAAAATCACATCGCGGTAGTTTAGCATGATTTTCCGATGCAAAATAATAGCTCGATGGACATAACGCGAGAGTCAAAGGAGGCTAGGCTACCGTGAGAGGCGCCGGTAATTATTTGCCGAGGGGTGTCAACGAGACTAATGACGTCCGTAGATGGCGAACGCTTTCGACGGGTTGCGTTGCTCGTCACGTTGACGCAACAACGATTCCGCGTCATTCTCTCTTTCGTCTCGCTCTTCTCTCTCCGGCTAATCATCCTCAATCATAATCACGCGCGATCGTCGCGTCGATCAGACAGATTGCGCTTTATCGCCGGAATTAACGTATGGCATGCCTTGCAGCCGTACTATATCTGCAGATTCCTTTTGCCTTGCGTTACTATTATACATCGACTATCTCGCCGTCTGCGATGTATGTGCTGCACATTGTAAATAATATTTATTTGTTCGTGTTTTATTTATTTTTATTGATTTAATTAAGGAGGTTTTGTACCTATTTTTAAAATATTGAGAATTTAATGAAAATTGTACAGAATGTCCTTACATATGTTTAGAATCTTCAATACAATTTTTAAATCGATTCACCAAAGCGTTCACAAGTTATAAGGATTTTAATTTGCACCGAATTAACATATATATTTATATACTTAAATATAAAGTTTATTTTAATTTAAGTATATAAAACTTATATACTAAAATTAATTTATTGTTTTATATATACGCAACAATCTATAATCTTTTTAGAGGAATTTAATAATTTTAAATTTTAACGATATTATAATCTTATTTCAATATAGTTGCCACCTCAAGAATATATATAATAAATATATAATAAATAATATATAATAAATATATAATAAATATATAATAAATAATAAATATATAATAAATATATATAATTATTTAATTCTACTTTAGGAAAATTATATAATCTTTGATTTAAAAATGTTATTTTCTACCTAACATTGTTTCTTTTCTATTCAAGAAAATTAAATCTTAAGGATGTTTTGTACCTATTTTTAAAATATTGAGAATTTAACGAAAATTGTACAGAATGTCCTTATATATGTTTAGAATCTTCAGTACAATTTTTAAATCGATTCACTAAAGCGTTCACAAGTTATAAGGATTTTAATTTGCACCGAATTAACATGTGTTCTTATGGGAAACGTATAACCACGTCGATTCAAATGACAAAAACACATGGAAATAATATTTAGAATTTGTTTAAAATTTGCAAAAGTTTAGATACAGAGAAAATATTTGTTCAAATATTATTATACAAATACTAACTGGTTAAAAAGATATTAAATATAATTCAATGAAGTTAGCCATGTATCTATCCAAGGCGAAATTCTCTGCCAAAAGTTAATCATTTCGATTAACAAAATTCGAAATATTTCAGTAAACGCAATAAATATTAAAAACGCAATAAATATTAAAAAATACATCTCTGCACTGTAGCTAAGATCAAATTATAATATTCCACACAATTTCTTACTCAAAATACACCAAAAGTGAATATATTCGTCAATATTGATTTTCAGCTATTTTTGTTGGGATTGTACATACAAAACATTCTTAAACGAATAAAATCACGCTAAACTGCAGAAGATAAATAGCAAGATTTTACTGGGCTGTTGTTTATTTTCAAGCCGATTATTTAGGATAATTTAAAAAAAAAACTGTTATATTTTTTACATAAAATTTTGGTAATAAAAAATCTTGTTATAAATCATATTTAATGATAAATTTATAATGAATAATATTTTGACGTAAATTATACTGGATTTTCAATTTGTAGCAAGAAACTAAAATTTGCATATCTTTAATTTCCAAATATTTTATCTCATAATTTTATATTAACTGTTTTCAACCGAGTTCTTTTGAATATATACGTTTAAAATTCTTACAAACAGTAGCGCACGAAACAGAATATGCTAGAGATTGTAAAACGTTTTTCTCATATGTGCTCTTTTTGTATCTTATATGCATATTCATACAATGTGTGTAAAAAAAGCTGGAAATTTGCTTAACATATTCATATCGCGGCAATTAAATAATAACGGGCTTCTTGAATAATAATCCTGTCTTTACGAAGCTCCTTTTTTTACGAGTGCGTGCTGAAAATCGAACAACGGTCTCGGGATTTCGGTTTTGAACATCCGGTTAAAGTGCAGAACCGGGGAATGGGTTTTTAATCAGGGTATTCCGGACAATGGGCTCCCCAGGGGGCAGCAGCCACCCTTGTAGTACCTTTCTTCGCCCTTCGTATATCGAGGTGCCTTGAAACACTCTATCGTGCGTGAGGAGTTTCTCATTATTGCCAGTACAGCCTATATCATTGAGTATAGTAAATTTTCTTTCGCGCAATTTATCGCGTTACAATCAATGTAGAAGCACAGAGAAAAGATATGGTATTCTTGTCATAAATAGGATCTTAATCATAAGTAGAATTTTGAAATAAATTTTTTTTTATTCATATTTCTTAACAACATTCTTTTTATTTATAATTACTCTTTTATATTTTTAATAAATTTTCTTAATTATTATGCGCTAGCTGCAAATAAGTTCCTTAAACAAATATTATTATCCAAATCAGGTAACATAACAAATAAAGAAAAATGGAAAAGCTGTACAAATAAATAATTGAATCTATATGTATTTATTTATATGATTATATGAAAAAATAATAAAATAATTAATGACAAAACCATTATTTCAAAAATAATACATTAGGTATACATTTGTAGTATAAAAAATACAATAGATTTATTTATTAAAAATTAAAATAATTTATATTGAAAAATTAATACTTTTTTTCTATTAAATTTAGAAAGCTTCTTTAATAGTTAACTTTGGATAAATTATTTTTTATGTAAAGGTAAAAAGAGAAGAGATTTTAATTGATAAAATCTAATGATATTCATGCGTGTATCAATAAATGATATCAATGGAGATTTAAAATTTCGGAAAATTTAAGCAAATCCTCCCCGCATCGAACACTTGCTCAAGAAACCGGTAGCCGGTGTATTAATTCGAGCCGGGGTGGTTACAGGAGGGTCAGAACGGGTCATTACCACGGTTACGAAACCACGCTCTGCGCCGAGCGTGGTTGAAAGTGAAACCGCGCGGTGCAATCAGCGACGGCCATATGTCGCTCGGTGACGTTACGCGCGTCATCAATCGAGGGGAAACGCGATTCGATCCTTTCCAGCGCGTCTCCCTCGACGCCCCCTGCCTGTCACTCCACCACTCGAAAAACTCCCCCGTGTCTTCTGTATTTCTCTCATTCGCATCGACTTGTGTCCCGCGAGTCTCAGTCATTACCATTGCATCAGATTTGGCAAGTTCCCTCTTTGTCATTTAATTTTGAATATATAAAAAAAGAGCCTGCAAACGCAAAAATTTAAATATTAATTATTATATGTATTAATTTATATAGTATTAATTATTATATATATTAATTTATATATTATTAATTACTATATATATTAATTTAAATAAATTATTATTTAAATAAATTATTTAATTAAATTATTAGATGATTTAAATATAAATTTTTTTAAATTATTGTTTAAGTATAAATTAGATTTAGGAGGGAAGAAATGAATTTTTCACTTTCAGAAAAAATAGCGAAGATATTTTATGCTATTCAAAATTGGCGGCACGTACAATATAGAGTTTTCTTGTTTTAGTATCTAATAGTTATTAATTAAGTTAAAGAAATTAATAATTATATTTAAAATAATTTGATTTTAATTAAATATTTTTATGACAATTTACACTTGCACTTAAGTTAATTTCTTCTGATATTATTCATAAAAGTTTCTTTAACCAGCTGCCCCCTTCTTCGTCCTCGGAGCTTTTCCATTTAGTATTGTCGAGAGCGCGCAGGAAAGGTTAAACGTTCGGCCGACGGATGACTGATGCGGATCTCACCTGCATCTGGCATCTGCAGTCGATCGACTCGCGTCGACGTAACATTTTCCGTGAAATTTTGCAATTTCGCTTAGTTCGCATCGTCACGGAATCTGTTTCTTCGGAGCTGCCAATAAAGCTGTTTACACACGAGAGGACTTCAGGGGAGATTAATGATGAAACTCTATGAAAGTTTCTGCGCGGTTAAATGGCCCCGGCCGGTGTTTGATATAGAACCATTAGCGTTCCCTACAGAACTGGTATCCGATTCTCCTTCATTCCTTGGAATCGTCAAATTTTCTCTCCGATTTTGTGCCGAATCGTTAATGATCGTGCACGGGATGACCATTGTCCATTTTCGGGTCATCGAAAGTAAATAGAACCGCGCGTCGCCCTGCATTTTGTAAATTTCCGTAAATTAAATAGATGGTTTTTCGAAAAATGTGCAAACTAAATATTATTTCTGTCTATAATTTATTTTTTATTCGTTTATTTTCGTTCTCTTCACGATATTTTAAAATATCATTTAATATTAAAAATAATTATACTTGTCAATGTATAAGAATTATATATATTTAAATATCTGTAAAATTTAAAATTACAAAACTTATAATAATATATTTTTTTCATGATGATATATATTGATAGCTTGTTCAAATTTTAATAATAATAACAATATAATATTACGCTAATTTTTTTCCTCGATGTTATTTGGAAAGAAATTAGTTATTTAATTTCTTCATGGATTGACATTTAATATTGATACTTAAATTTAATGCTAATGTTTCTCAGAGGAATTTATTAATTAAAAAATTCTTTTTTAATTTTCGAAAAATGTTTCATCTCTGAACGAAGAAAGTTTGCCTATATATCGTACGGTCGATGACTCGAAACGGACGACCGTAAATAATAACAAGACAGTTGCCGATTTGAATTTCCGTGAGACCGGCCAGAGCAAGGAGCCCCGAAAAACCATTAATTTATCGTAAACGCGTCGAAGGCCGACCGGTGAGTCGGGAACGGGGAGGAGGGCTACTGAC